AAAGAAACAAGCGATGATCAGAGCAAAGAGCTAGCAGTCTGTCTCCATTGTCTGGTCGACTGCCACCGAGACCAAAACTACCCCCAAGGTGGTGCTCGCTTGGTGGAAGGCGGCCAACCCGTGCGTTAAAGTCCCCGGCAAGAATGACTATATCAGTTCTTTTGGAGGAACGCAGAAGTTTATGTAGTTGTTGGTAAAAGCTATCTTTAATTTCATCCGGGCTGCAGTCAGTAGGGGCGTAGGCGGAGACGACAAACAAGGCACGCTTAACGTATTGACTCATGCTTACGTTACATGAACCTCTTAGTCTGACTGCACATAGCCGACTGTTGACTGGGATCCAGTCAAGCAGAGCTGATTCAGCCCTGGCACTTAGTACAACCCCAACACCAGCTTGACCAGTGGCGGCAGCTTCTGTGTCTCCGAAAAGCCGCAAGTAGTATTTGACGTCAGAGTTTACCGGAGAGGCCATTCTGATGACGGCGCTAGATTCTTGTTATCTCGTCTCTGAAAGACAACAGATGTCTACCGAAAGCGTTTCAAGAGTACGGGCCAGACATGCTTGTCGTCCGATCTGCATCAAAGTTCGACCATTAAACGCTGCGAGGATGAATGGAGAACCAGGTCGAAGAAGAGCTGGAGCTTCGGTGGAGTGAGAGCGGTTGCCATCGCAGGACATTGAAAACCGGGAGTTTGGTTGTTGCTTCCATCAGTTGCGAGACGTGGGTAGTTTGTGACGGTGACCGTAGAAGACATAAGATTACATATAGGTGAAGGACGGGAGGTGGGGTAATCTGTGAGTGGAGGTTGTGCGGTTGAGCTAACACAGAAGATAGGGATAGCAGTAGCAGTAGTAAGCGGTGTAGTCCATGATTCGTCAGTGGGCATGATACTACCCGGTTGCCCAGGCCGAAGTAGAGGGTTGACTTAGGGGGCCGTATCCCGAGCCTTTGATCTAAGATCTAACCTACAAGGCAACAGGGCGATGTGAGGGCGTCGCAACCCGTTGGGATCCGGTGACCAAATAGATGGTTCATGCGCCTTTCGGTCCGTGAAAGACCAGGGGCCCAATGCACCCTTAAAGTACAATGCTTCTCAGGGAGGGGCAAAGGGCAGTGACTTTAGTTAGGGGCGAGTCACATCCGCCACGTCGCAGTGTTGTTAAACGGACATATGTGGCTTTTTATAGGGAAAACGCTTGCCAGGCGAAAACCCACCACGTCCTGGAACACTGCCGCCGAACCATTCGCTGGAACGGGAAAAACCCGAACCACCCAGCTGGCACCAAGATTCAACTTCTGGAAGTTCATGAGTTAGCCCCATGGCTGAATTTTAGGATCGCAAGATATTCAATTCCTCTTACCTCATTTCCATTCCGACTCAATTCAAAGAACATTTAGTTGGATTGTACTGCAACCACCACATTTCTTGATCACACAAGAGCTGGTTGGCTCGTATAGACAATTAGCTACCGCTTTTGCTGTACAAGGCCAAACTAAAATCACGGGTTTCAGTTCAGAAAGCCATACATATGAACTGTGCTAAATGCATTTTTTGAGTCACATTCTGAATCCACGTGTGCCTGCACTACCCACGAACTGATGCTTCCGCGAGATTACATAGTGCATTGCAATGGCGAAATCAACTACACAGAAGTACTCGTGTGCATATAGGAAACACCCAGTTGTCCGTGATGTCTTCAGCTACAGAGCCAGTCTGATGAATATACATTCACATGCGTATGCGTATGCGTACGTTGTGCTAGGTACGAGTTACGGCGCTTGCAGCCGATCCGTGAACAGCGGTCACACAAGTCGATGAAAGTTCATTTAAAATCCTCCTACTCATTAGTAATCAAAATGCACCTTCAAATGCAATATCGTACACGGCGTTTGTGTTGCGGAACTCGTGACCTCTGGCAGTCAGCCACTGTCCTCCGCAATAGTAGTAGACTGCATAGCAGCGCTATATCCCAATCAATTTGCGAGTCATGAATACCCTCCTTTATTGGCACATACATTCGGACGTGACCCGAAGGCTATCTTATACGTTTCGTTACCATACTAAGAAACCATGGTGGAAAAGAATTCCAAAAATGTGAATTGACAATGTCAAGATTGTTTCTGTTTCAAACCAGTCAAAGCAATCTGCTCCAACTACAGAGGCATAAGCTTAGTCCCCGTCGTTTGCAAGCTGCTGGTGTCCATCATACTTCACAGGCTATCCCCAACACGCGAATCGTTGCAACGAGAAGAACAAAATGGGTTTCGTCCTGGTCGCGGCTGCATCGATCAAATCTTCACACTTCGACAGATCCTCGAGCTCCGCCATGTGTATCGGAGGCCAACGATTGCTGTGTTCCTGGATATCCGTGCAGCCTTCGATTCTGTCGATCGTACGGTACTGTGACATTGCCTACTGAGGAATGGTGTCCCCGAGAAGTTCGTCTCCATACTGCGCGCTCTATATAGTCTGACCTCGGGCAGGGTTAGGGTTTATGGCATGCTTTCGCCTACCTGGCATGGGAAGATGCTTTGCCTCAGGTTCTGATCGCGTATCGGACCAGTATGCAATCAACCACCAAGGTCTCGCCATTCGAATTACTGTTCGGCAGAGAACCACGGATTGCGCTCGATACTTGCCTACCGAACCAGGATGAGCGGAAACATCCAGCTGGGCATCAAGAGCGACTGCGAGGGAAAGCTAGAAGCGAAACCAAAGCTCGACAAGCGCTGAATAAGCGAAATTACGACGCCAGGCATGAGGCTCACAAGTAGAGGCCATTCAGGAGTGGAGAACGGGTCAAGTTACGGAACAACGATCGGCCGGATCATGACGGGCCGGGCGCAAGCAAGTTCAGAGAACGCTGGAAAGGCCCCAACACTATACTCGAACAGAAAGCGGGCAACTTCTTAATCGACTGCGGAGGAATGAAACGTTGGGTGAATGCTGCTCTCCTGAGACCATGGTACGAGAGGAAGAAAGGTCCTCGAGGAGGGGCGGGTGTAGAGGGGCTGCTTCCAAGAATGCCTCGGGAGAGCTCTTCGGAGATAACTGAGAGCGGATCGCGAAAGACGGCTATCGACGAGCCTGGGCCCGGAACTACGGAGCGGGAACATGTGGACAGCGCAATAAATCAGACAAATACGCCGCTAGCGCAGCCCACAGGACCGAAGCCGAGTCGATTGACACAGCCCAGAACAAGCAAGTCGCGAGCTCTCAAACTACTCCTGGCCGATCCAAATCGGGTACAGAGAAGCGGAGATCGAGGCGAAAACAGGAAGGTGGGACTTCCAAGTCAGAGCTCCCGAGGCGAAAGGACTGGCTCGCCTCTAACATCCGTACCTGTGTTGCGTGGTGGGACGGAAATCTAGTCGATATTCGATGACGCGCGTGAGACCCGAAGGTGCCCATTTTCGGTGTGCAATAAACGTCTACCCCCCCTGTCTTGTCGTTCTCGCTACACTATGTTTGGTGGGTCGAGTGGGCTACACCAGTGCCAAACTAGCTATAAGATGTTTGATGGGGTGTCACATTACCCATGCTCGCTGCCCTCCTACTGCTGCCGTCCGCAAGGCATACCTGGTAGTCCACTTACGCTCACTGAACTCTCCACCCAGTCTTACCACGTGTTTTGATAAGCTTGTTCGCCTATAGTGCGTGGAACTAGCTTCAGATTAAGCACCGTTGCTGAATGGAGGCTGGAACGTCTACGCGTCTCCAGCATATACTACCAACTCATACATCTACTGTCATTGACTGATTTGGGCTAACTCAGTTCCAAGGATACTGCTCGCGCATAGTGCGGCAGAAAGATCCCGGGTGCAATTCGTATGCGCTAAAGACGATATTCAATTGGCTTGTGGATGCAAATCAAAGTCTTATTGAGCACATCAAATGCACTATGGGTGCAATCAATCGGGAAAAGCAGTCTTGTGTTCCGCGTTTGTCTATGCCTCGCGCGTCTAATGTCCCCGGTTTTGTGCGTGTCGTTGTCTCTTTTTCGTGGACTAAGCGTGTCACCCGAATACGCACATGACTGGGGTCCGTGCTCATGCTGCGCTTAACTCTCGTCTAAGCTAACACAACCAGGCCTGTCCAAATCCGTTACACCATGGTAAGAGTAAAGTTCTCGGTCTTTTTTGCATCCATTTATATAAGCCATGTGTGCACTTGTATTTGTCTGTCATAAATCTTGAGTAGGTTGGAGCCTAGCTGTCCGACATTTGCCTTTATCACATAATTAAACGTAGAAATTAGGTTTAGGATAGCACATGAACTCGATGTCTTTCATTTTAGTAAAGTGCGACGGTTGTGGATGCTCCATTGTTTATGTTCCATTTTGTCGCTCCCGTTGTCAGCCACCTTTGTGTAACTTGTTTAAAGTAATGAAGCTTGCATGCCCAACTTCGAACGCGCTCGTTTCGCCCTGGCTTTAGTTTTTGCTGTTTGCGTGTGCGTTGCCGCCTCCTCCTTCCCAACGATGGGAAATACAGACTCGAACAATCAGTCGACTTCTGACAAACGGTAACCGATTAAGGGCTTATACCACAGGCGTATCCAGCTGTTTTAACCCAATGTTGTATTTTGCCTCAACACTCAAATTTTTCGTCTAACAGTCCACTAGAACACCGCGGTTTTTGTCTACTTATTATTCTGACGATCGATTGGGTTTAACTTTTATTTCTAGTGGTTGACGAACATGTGATACTATTGCTCAAATGAAGCCTGGGTTTTCCAGTTGCTTCGAAGCCATGCAATTGTTGTGTTCTTTCTCTGAGTGCAAACAGATTGTCTGGACTGCTATGTACGCCGTAGTGTTTAACCAATTCTATGCTGACCTTAAGTCTTCTTACTAATTTGAGCCATAATATGCCACGGATAGACGGACACAGCCACAACTTACTTCGAGTAATTAAGTCAACACAGCACACATTGTCAACGCAACATTAAACTTACATCACTAATTCATCCAATGTTTACTCTTCTAAATATATCAGATTATTTGGAAAAGCTGGCCGAATTCAAGCAACGCCGTCTCTCCGCCCTGGGACAGTTGAAAAAGCGCCAACTGAAAGAATACTTTGATATACTTCGAAAGTGGTTAGTTGAACAACACGCGAGGGAACTGTCGGCGAGGCATCAGTTTTCTCAAGATGTACTCAAACGACTGACCTCAGCCCAAACAGTCGAAAGGCGAGTTGCTTGTCGTCTAGCTAGAATAACCTCCAAAGGCCAAAGACAAATTACTCATGTGATGCATTCCACAGCATCAAAAGAGGAGCGCTTGGAGCCAAAACAGCAACTCAGCGGTAGAAAAGAGAGTTCCAGTCAGGGGAAAAATCCACCGGCGGATCAGTCGCTCTTTGAAATCCTGTTTCCTAAGTCAGCTAACGATCGAACGGAGAATGATGTGACAAGTCTTTCAAGTAGACACTCAAATCACATCAGCTCAATGCATTCATCGCTGGAGTGCAGACATAGGGAAGCAGAACCGAAGACACGCTCGCTTCAAAGCAGCACGGAGTTGTTGGACAATGACACAACAAATACCCGCCTATTAAGCTCAAAAGCGAAGGGACCGTCTTTGAAGGTCACACGAGGACGTCGGCAGCGACAGTTGGGCGTGTGGAAATCAAAATCCCTGCAAAGCTTACGATCTGCGCTTGAAGTAAGTTCTGGCTAACGACCAACCTCATGCTTTGTACTGGGAATGGGGCCAAACAACGGTTTCATACATCTTTGGATATGCTCATTTGAGTTGACCAACAAAAAGTATTGTAGTATAACGCTCTTCAATACTACGAGTTAGCCATACAATACGCAACTTCGTACTTGTTTGTTGCGAGTTAGTAGTCGGTTCACGTGTAGAGTCCAGTTTACTTAGTTGTTAGTTTGTTGTTAGACTCTCTATCGCCCACGTGCTGTTTCTCCGAAGGGTTGGCGTTTAAAAATCCACTGATATGCCTAGTGTTTGTTCGCAATATCCCCCTGGTCATATCAAACTGACGAGTTGGAATATACTTTGTGTGTTAGTAGCAAAATTTCCCGCAAGTTCACTCAGTTAACTGGGAAGCATCTATTTAGAGCGTGTTGCGGGTGTCCTTGAGAGTTCAAACAGTTTATTTTTATCGTTGTTCATCAACTAAGCGATAGGTAAATACGCTCGCTTTGTAATCTGTGACGACTGGATTCGCGTTTGTGCACATAAGGGGGGAAACGCGCATTTAGAATTTAGCCAGGTGTCTTATTTGCGTTGCGGTAACCGTACACACAGTTCTCCAATGACCACCAGATGCTTCCTTGGGAAAGCAGTTATACCATACTTCCGGTGGTACGTCCAATTGATCACTACTGCGTGCGTATTGGTGATGGGACTAACGCCGTTTCCGCTGCATGGTGGCAGTCAAATGGCTTCACCTATGCTAGGTCATACCTTACGCCTATCCTGGTATGAATGCATTACCTCAGTCAACAAATTCGCGCGACTGCGGATAACTGCTCACGAAGGCGGGATGCAGAGTCCTAGTGACAAGAAATGAGCCCACGGAAGAACGATCACGTGGTGGAAATGAGTATGGCTCAACCATTGCGCCGAATGTGCCCCATATGTCCTGTGTGTGTACAGTCAGCGGACTCCCATACCGTACACCGTCCGCCCTCGTGTGGAACTGCGTCAATACAATCGACACACTAATTTGACAATCCATTGATGTTGTCAGGTATGTCGACGCGCTGTGTGAGCGATTGGAACAGATCTCAAATCTCAAGCTGACCTTATTCACCCGATTCCATGTCAACAATGGTGTATGTAAGCCAGGTGGTGTGGGATGCATTACTCATGACCTATACGTAGTTGTTCCAATGCTCTTTGTTGTCAACTTTGGTAGGGGATCCTGGTTTACAATCAGTGAAAACACACAGTGGAGGCCCATTAAGTCTAAAGATGGGATTTTGCTCCTGCACAAAGAATTAGGAGTAACTAGGGGCATTGGGTCATTTCCTGCCAGACCGGGGAGGACCCACCGTCGGTCCGGATTGCGACAATCAATCTCAATTGATGTTACCGTTTACTTTGCAGCGCACCTCTACCAGTTCGATCAATACGATCGAAACTGAACTGGGTTTTTTCGAAGCTGCTCGTAGAGCCATCAACCTCTAAATGTCAGGTTCTAATGTCAGCACAGGTTATCTCCACTTAAGACTCCAAATGAAGACGAACCCGGTCGCAGAGTGCAGTTCTGGGAGAGAATGGTTTCAAAAATATCCATATCAGACGTTTCCTTTTCATACCCCTCTCAACCAGATCGATGAATACCATCAGCGTAAAGTCCAGTGAAGCACGTTATCTCGCTGCTTCCAGACATTTATGCTCGATCACTTTCCCACTCCAGCTTCAGAAGTTTCGTTGACCGAGTATGTCTAAGCAAGTGGTACAACAATTGCGCATTTCGGAGAATAACTTTACCCTTTCGCCCCTTCCTCGGGCTGCAAATGGGCTCGATAATAGACCAGGAGTTACCTGCCCAATGCCAGTAAGGCAGGTGCAGGTGTAGCGTGTCATGAATTGAAAAGGGCAAATGGAATTTTTCGTCAATGCATTTCAATCTGAGCAATTACATTATTTTGAACTGAGTTCCCATTAGTCTCTTCGATAGGCACAGTTAACGCTAATGCATTGTTGGTTGTTGCGCTACTGGTACAAAATGGTTTTTCTCACACGGTACAACAACTCGGTCACTGCGCTCAACCAATCACAGGGGCATAAACTGCGAACACTGTCGGTTTTCGGACTCATGGGCACATACTGTGAACATCTACCCCAGCGCCAGTAATTCCGACCATACACTGAAGCAACGAGGCTTTTCCGAAGACCACAGTGGTTGAGTAGTTTTCATCATTAGACAAGTAGACTGAAACCACGGCGAAGCACAGTGCCTTCGGATTCCACCCATCAGCTCGGGCATTCAAGATAGCAGAACTGACATGTTATCTTGGAAGGCAATTCCCGGAATTAACGAGTTAACTGAGCAAACGGAAACGTCTAATTGGCATCTTTTTCACTGTAGCATTTTCGACTGGTAAGTTAATAAACGGAAGTGGTCGAGGCTTTTAACCACGAACAGCATCTTGCAGGATCTGAGCCCTGTAGCTTCTTCTGGTAGATTATCCGGTCAAGTGCATAACACCACACTTCGTGGTTATTTTCACCTTCTTATCTAAACAGCGTGGTGGTCAATGGTGGCTGCAAACTTTTCACATAGATAAAGCTCATATCCGAACGGTTTACACAATTGTTGGTTACCTCGAAACATATTGTAAAACCTACGCACCAATCTGTGTGGTAGCACGGAGAGTAGGATATTTCTTTTTCAGTACTGTGAAGAATTCTCACCGATCTCTCTTCCGTCTATCGTTACCTGGCCCTTCGCCAGCCTCTTTTTGTGGCACTTACCAGTTAACCTTTTGGGCGTGGAACGGTAATGACCATTGTGTCAGGTTAGTAACTGTTCGTGAGTACTTAATCTTTGTTCGGCATATGAGCTAATGGTACCTTGCAGCTGAGACCCATTCTGTGGTCCTTACAGAAAAGGTTAGGATTTAACTGTTTCTTATGAAAAAAGCCAAAGTTTACGCAAATTATTGTTCCTCAAAATATTATGCCAAAGTTTTTGGAGTCAGCCACTGGCGGCTTCTACGTTTGGGATCTACAACTTAATTTTGTACTTTTCGTGGGGATAGTCACACTTAGTTAACTAACCATGACTTTCACAGGGAATCTCACCGTCCGAGTTGCGATTGCATGGTATGCTCAAATCGCATGGCACGTGGTCCTGTCACTAGTGTTCCGAGGTTGTTCGTATCACCGTTTAACCCAACCGCCCGCACAGCGGAGTGGACAGGGATTTCAAATAACAATCACAATGCCAACATTTATATTCTTGGACAGATGGCGTTGACAGTGGTATTAGAATGCTGTGTTACAGGTAGATGGCATGAAAATGGCATTACCCCGCTTCTGGGTACTATTTGTGCTAAAAATGGCATCTAACTTGTCCGGTGTACCCTGTGGTCCAAACAAAACTTACCGGTAACATTGATTAGCGCCCCGCTCGGGTCATTTGATTTCCTCTCTAGAAAGGAACATTGTAACCTGCAAGACACTTCTATGAGGCGTAAATCTGTAAGGAAACGTGAAGAGGTGCTGCAGAAATAAAAGACGCAGAAGTCCGTTAAACAACTTGCATAAATGCATGTTTACTTCAAGAAAGCTACTCCCACCATTCGAACAATGTGCCATCACGTTCAAATGCCATCTCGAGAGCTCACGGTCCCGTACTCCGTGTTTTGGGTTACATTACTTATCTGGAACAAGTTCTGTCTCTGGAAACATTACAGGCGGGCGGCACAAAGAGGAATCCACAAATTATATTATTAATAACATCATTATCCAAGGAAAATATGTTGAATGTAGACAGCTATACACAATTCTAACCTCTGCTCAATTTCAGACATGTGATCAGATGCACAGAGATTTGATTAACAATTTGTCCAAACAACAAGTGGAGCAATGGGCCGAAGTTCTGAATCAGGAACGCATACTCACCGAAGCACTTATACAATCGCAGACGGAACAAAAGCGAATTCTACTTCAGGAGGAAACTGACACCTTGAAGAGAGCTCAGGTGGAGCAGGCGAACCGGGTTGCTCATTTGTCCAGTGTATTGGAGGCGACAGAAAAGGTTAGTACGTGGTTGATATTTGTACACACACCGAGAGCATGTGTGCTGATACGTGTCGCGATGATAAAATGTGATCTCCAGCTATCAACTCAGTTTCGGGTGCATATCAGACTTTTGATGTTGTTGTGTCTGAACGCAACTCAATTTGAAATAATAAATGTGTAAAATTTGAATCCACCACCTGCTTTGACATCGCGCTTACAATCACCTAAGAAACCATGACCCAAGTGTCCCTCCCTTATTCAGGCTCAGTGCTGTCATTCAAAGGAGATCAAGAATACTCCTACAAATGGTATATAAATTAAAGGTCAAAGCATAGTTATTTACTTTTTGATTTAAATAAAGCAGCTGGATTCACCAAATCTTCTGCATCCCGTCCGAATGTCTGGTGTGGTGGTGCGCCCCTTGTGTACAAAATGGTTGGCGGCATCCGGTTTTGGAGTTGCCTGTCACTGTGGCCAGCCACAGGATGCCTGCACCCATAGAGGGACCATGGTTGACTTGCGCTGCACCACCCACAGTTCCAACCACACACCCCATATCCAGTGTAAACCCGAAGGAATAAGACCGGGAAGCATGTGGATGGGAGCCACGTTTCATCAAAGGAGCCAGTCCACACTCCTTCACAGGCAAACACAAGCACGCTGTATTTGGGAATCAAGCGCACACAAGGCGGTGGCTGGACCGTAGTCCGCTCCATACTGAGTTCATGGAACCGCTCTTCGAGACTAGCACGGTCACAAGGACTGTGCACCCCGTCCCCTCCAGCAACGACCAACTGTCTCCTGGAGCCAGTATGGACGAGGTAGTGGGTAATAGACAGGTAAACACCCCCCAAAATTAGCAAACATTTCGCTTAGTCCAGTTTTTGCCCCACTTTCTTCACATCTGAATCCTCTTTCTGCATCCGATGCTGTTCGCAACAATCAATACATTTGGGCAACTAAACAACATCCCCAGCGTGCACACACTGAAAACCTTTTTCAGTGATACAGCTCGTCATCAACAGCAGTACATCAGCCATTTGAACTGATGCTTCGCTGCCATACAATCGTGCTGACCTATGAAATAAAGAATAAGAAGAGGAAGAGGGGACTTACCTGAAAAACTTAATGCCCTAAGCAAACATTCAGGGTCAAGGCGCCTACACCTTGTGTAGACAACATACCGTCACAAACAGCTGGCTATCGTGCAAAGATAAGTGATACAGCTAAGTGATATCGATTTCTATTCTAGCGGCGGCCTGACTTACACACCAACAAAATGGGCTATGGTACATATAGTTATTTACTGTGTCCCGTCTTGATTGTTGGACTAAGCTCCGCTGACAACGAAGGTGCCAATCGGTACTGCTTTTATGCCCCAGCAACCTGCAGGTCTACGATGTGTAGTGCAACTAAGTAGGAGTTCATCGCACCAGCTTCTAAACCAGATAGCCGCCCACATGCCCAGAGAAGCACAAACTTGCATTTTCAACCTTTTGGGCATCACCCACCGGATCCCTCAGGACTGGTACCGATGACCGCCAGCGGCTTACACCGCCAGTCGGCAGCTTATGCCACTGGGTCACGAGGGACAGCATCGGAGTTTCGCGATTTCTAAGCTGACTGCGATATGGCGCGACTTCCACTTCCATGCAGGTTACGAACGTTACAGAGGAGTGGCTTGGACCCGAAAGATACGACGTACATTGACGGCAGCTATCTACGACCTAGCATTAATAAACTGTTAGGGAAGATATGTTGACGCACTCATAAGTAGGGGATTATTGATATAATTATGTAAGCACTCATCGCACTAGTTTCTAAATCAGTTAGACCTTTAATGCCCGAGAAAGCACTAAATTGCAATTTCAGCCTGTCGGGCATCCTCAGTAGGGCGCATCCATCGGAACCATCAGTATTCGAACCCAAAACCACTAGCGGCTTGAACCGCCACGGGGGACAGCTTCGGACCGTCATGATTTACAAGTTAACTGCGATATAGGGTGTTTTAGCCCGGTTTGTTTGCAAGCGACTTGTGCTCCAATCGCGCTTGACAGAGAAACTATCCTAGCGATAGTGACAACAGCGTATACTTCTCATTGAAACGAAGTACAGCCCACGGCAGACGAGACACCTAAAGCAGAATACGCTGCCAGACCGAAATTCACAGGGGCAAGTAAGCACAGCGACCGTTGTCGAAATTATGTGCTGAACTTCTCGCGTCCATCATCGGGACCAATATTGGTACAACTTGTTCAATGAATGTTACGAAATGCTTTCAGTCGGGTTCACACTTGTGTTCCGGTTAGGCTTACGCTGTGGATCATCCATGCATAGTACGGTGAAAAATAGGGCAGGCAATATACAATGTACTCATGAGGATTAGACGCGCTATAACACAGCTTGTAAATCATGACAGTCCGAAGCTGTCCCCCGTGGCCCAGTGGCATAAGCTGCTGACTGGCGGTTCAAGCCGCTGGTGGTCGTGGGTTCGAATCCTGATGGGTCCGATGGACGCGCACTACTGACGATGCCCAACAGGCTGAAACCGCAGCCTAGTGCTTTTCCGGGCATATGGACGACTATTTGATTTAGAAACTGACTGTGCTGAACCTCAATTATCAATATACAATGTGTTTGAGATTCCAATAGCCAAACGGCTGAAATTAACCCATGACTGCCTAATGTCCGACAAATTATTCCAAGCTGAGTTCGAGTGCATATGCGCCATCTCACGGGACTTCGTAAGATACATGAAAGCGTTAAAGATATTCAAATATTAATCACAAAGTCATCAGAAGCTTTGAAATTACTGTAGTAAAAGAATACTGAGTCTGTATTTAAGGGCAAGTAGAAAAGTTACTGTACAACTCTATCAAGCTATGAAAAACCAAAAACAGTTAGTTGTGAATCGTCAGCGGTTGTGTTTGGTCAGTTACTCCTTTATCCTTGTTTGGTTAAGAATTCGTATTGTTGTCATTATTTCCGGTTATACGATATCTTCTTTTGGCATTGTATGTGCATCGTTTCACAAAGCACAGTTTTCCAAAATAATCGTCGATATGTGTTTTAATACACTTCACAGAATCGGCCTCTATTAATCCTTTTGGTAGTATATTCCATACGTTTACGATTTTTCGTTCGATACAAAGCTGATATGATACTTTGTTCATGCAGGGGACCCTGAGTTTTAACCGTCTCCTACAGGGTTACACGGTTCCCGCAGGTGCAAATTTGGCCGCAGTATGGGGAATTGATTCAAGTGTATTACTCGATAGGTCATAATAAGGTCAATTCTTACTCGGTGTTAGGATAGTGTATAGAGTCCGAGCCTTTCACAACGTTTTTCATACGGAAGCTTTTGTAGACTCGGTGTCATTCTAGTTGCGATGTGCTGTATTTTCTCCAGCTTTTCAGTTTCCCACTGCGTTATTGGCTGGTAAGCTGGGGCACCGTACTCAAGGATTGGTCTAATGAGCGAGGTGAATAGAAGAGGGACGGTTTCGTCGGACCATGTGGAGAAACTGCGTCTTAATGCCCAGAGCATACGAAGGCCCGCACGACACAATTTCTTTGTATTTTCTAGTGATCTCATATCATGTCCCGAGAACACTCCTAAGTCTCTGTTAGGTTGGGGCAACCGGCCGTCCAAGTTGCATGATCGAGTGGCTGGACGTCTGATGATACTGATGAACACCGATTTGCTTGCGTTAAGTGGGAGTTGCATTTCAGTGGACCACGTTGACAGTCGTTCTAAGTCATGCTGGAGGCGAGCACAATCGTCCTGGTTCTCAATGACCCTCCAGATTTTCAACTCAATTGCAAACAAGGCACATGGTGACTGGAGCTCTGAAAAGAAATCTAAACGGACCAGAAAGTTTGGTTCGTCTAAGTCTTACGTCATATAGCGGTAGGTTGCCAGGTTATTTGCAATGGCCCCTCCAGGGTTGGTAGCTTACGTAATACGAATCTTCACGATCTACCAATTAATCAAACAAGGGATTTTTACACAGTCATTGTTATTGATTAATGACAATTATTAGATAATGATTTCCGTTTCTTTTGCTCTTCTGCATCGTGGATCTAGTTATCAAACGTGGCATCCTATTTCATACAGGATTTTCCCTTCACGAACTTCAAAACCGCATGTCCCACTTATCTTGGTGGCAAATGGCCATAAGGTGCTCACAAGCTCCATCGCTCAGCATATCCCTGTTTGTCCTACGTGGCAACACCCGCGGAAATACTACAAAAGCATTAATCGACACTGCTACTCTGCCCCAATTTGCAGAGGCTTCGACGATTCGTCGGCTGGAACCCAATTTATGTAATCAGGCGGAATTTGTGACTTCCCTCGCCTTGCCCTAGTAAGGTTATCGAGTGGTTTTATTTAGACAGAACCATTTGAGGCACTGTTATACCAGCGCGTGTGCAGCAGACTGATTCCACAGATTGTCTGTACACAGCTGATCAGAAGACGAAATATTTGAATTCAAACTATGCTGCTGAAATGTTGTTTCTGCTCGCTATTTAGAAGTAGTATCCTGTAAAGATGTTCTCGCCAAAAATGTGCGAAAGTATGCTTGCGTAGATAGGTCAACAATTAGCAGAAAACAGCGCTGGTGTATAAACGTAAAATTATTACAAATGTGTGAAATTTGAAGAGCAGAGTTCACTAGAAAAGCACTTTGCAGTAAACAACTACTCTAGTATTGAGTAAAATTACTGCGCCGTATGGAGAAGGGGTTGCGAATGGGATGTACTTATGGTTGCGGAAACAAAAGAATGCAATTTGAATAAACGGCGGGGGAAGCCTTTGCATCATCGCTATAGCTGTGGCGTGTGAGCACAATGGTTGGCGGTATCCGGTTTCGGATTTGCCTGTCACTGTGGCCAGCCACAGGACGCCTGTGTCTACAGAGGGACCATGGGTGGCTAGCGCTGCACCACCCACAGCTCCATCCACACACCCCATATCCAGTGCAAAGCCGAAGAAATAAGACCTGGAGGCGTGTGGATGGGAGTCACGTTTCATCAACGGAGCCGGCCCACACTCCTTCACAAGCAAACACAAACACGCTGTATTTGGGGTATTAAGCTCACACAAGGCGCTGGTTGGACCGTAGCCCGCCCCACACTGAGTACATGAAACCACTCTTTGATCCTAACAGGGACACAAGCACCGTGCACCCCGTCCCCTCCAAAAACGACCAACTGTCTCCTGGAGCCAGTATGGACGAACCACTGGGTAATAGACAGGTTGGCACCTTGTCAACATGCACATCAATCGCAGCCACTACGGGGATATCAAGCGACAACCAATCACTTGAGATAAAGATAACAAAGAAAAAAAATCGAGTAATGCATAAGGAAACGGTGGCAACCATCTTAAATTACTGAGCATATGAAATAAGTTGTTTACAAAAGAATCTGAAATAAGTTCCCGAGGTCAGAAAATACATTTTACGAAAATGTTACAAACACGAAAATGTTATCGAAATTAAGTACGATTGACTTAAGCGATGTGTGCACGTTTATAGAGGAGCGTACAGGTAGATAATCGTTTGAGAAAGAAAAGCATTAGGAGGAAATTGCAAACCCACCACCTGAAATAAAGAGACTTAGCATGTAAGCACGCGGTTAGTAAATCGAATGCAGCCTACCTACAAACGCTGCGCTGCTTCTGCCTACGTTCTCTGCAGGAGCCGTCCTCGCTTCGGTAGTGGTCCCGAGTGGCCTCGCTCATGGCTCACTAGGCCTGCCTGTCTCAGGCACTCGCGACCGCATGTGCTACGTCACCATGCGCTTGATATCGATGGTGTACAAGCCATCGTTGCTTGCCGCTTCCGCAATTGCCGCTTCTTCTCTGCATGTATGAGGTCTTTCTCCCGCATTTCGGCAACTGTCTTCATGACTAGATTGTGCCATGCACGCCGATCAACCGTCTTCGATTCCTGTGATCTGCAATCAAGATTAGAACGTGTGAGGCTCACTTTAATCATGTCCTGGTAACGTAACTTTGGTTTCCCCACATGTCGCTTCCCAGTACTCAGTTGACCATATAAGAGTTGTTTCGGTATCCGCGTTGAATCCATAGAGTAATATATACCCTAGTTAAAAATGTCCCGGAGGTGACACAGCTTCATGTGATCCCAATTGTAGATCGCATCAACTAGGCTGTAGGCGGAGTAGCAAAGATTGCCGTTAATGTCAGAATACGAAAGTTCAGTGGTTGTGAGAGAGATTGATGTACTAGGATTAAATGACGTGGGAACTCAAAGGAATTTTCCATTTCCTGCCCATTTGTAGACCGTGTGACTTGTCCCACATGCGGTGTCATTAGACATCGTACTGGCTAGACAAACAGGCATTACCTGTTGATTTATTCAGTTTAAAATGCATCGGTTTATGGCATCGGGTTTCAGGTTAGCTTTCATTATAGATAACTTTGCTTTCATTACTCAGCATGCGTTTAGTTAATTTCTGCTGCTCGAATCCAGAACTCGTGGGGTCGGATCCTGGTAAGTGCCCGAAGCGAAGGCACCACTAACGAGACCCAGAAGGTTGAAACGGGTCTGGTGCTTTTCCAAATGTGTGGGAGTACGCCTGAGTGAGAACGGATTGCGACGAACTACAGCTAAAATTTCTGAAGTTACAAACTGTTTCTCGCGCTACACGCTTCTTTCCTCTTGGCCTTTGAAGTTCTGTCAGTAAAACAATTACAATGTGCCCTTAAACTTGACTTCGTCATCTTAATTCTCTCTATAAATTTGCAGGGCATTTTCATCCTGTTTTCCAACAGCTACATTAAGACTATATATAGCGTAACTGTTGGTCACAGTTGGGTCACATGCCAAGTCTAAACTATAATGTCAATTTGCGTTGATTCCTTTTATATCACTGTGTAGCTTCTTCGGGTGTTCGATCTGACTTTGTAATCCAATGACGTTCATTCACTATCTGGCATGGTGCTCCGAGTCGAATGTCGTCTTAATGTAGTCACCGTCAAAATAGGCGAAGTCTCTGATAGAGGCTATTTACTTTTGGTATGGATTAATCTTCAAAAGAGAGGAGAACTAGGTGGAAGAAGCCCCACAAGAATGAACTACAGGAGCAGTGGATGTCACTAGATTGCTAGACGAGTCATCTACTCTGCCGTCCGTTGGTCTATGTAATTTTGCGTTCTGGTAACGTTTTGCTTTTGGCACAGACTCTCCTGCAGATCTCCTACAACTAAAGAGTAACTTTTCAGAATACGTAGCTATATCAAACCGTTAGATGAGAAAGCTCCCGAAATTATAAAGTTTTAATAAAGTCTATTTCGGGACGTGAGATTGCTCAGTTTATTTTTTCGTCTAAATAATGATTAAATAGCTACGGCACTTCAAATAACAGTGACAATTCTGGAACTTTCTTTTAATGGCAATGGTTTTCATTTACGGCGTGACGTCTAGTCATCTGAAGGCTACCACTGTGCGCGTTAGACGGGGACGGCATCTTTCAATTCAGTCATCAGGTGCAGCCATAACGGTGCTTGGGGTAAACGATAGAGGTGTCAACACGCTAACGCATACCAAGCGCAGTGGTGGCATTTTACTTGTCGTTGTGTTACGAAGGCACGAGTGCCAGCGCTAATAAGCTTATGACTATACGGTTTGAGGATTGGGCAGTCACTCCGCCTGTTGTGCACTACAATTAAGCTTACAAACTGACGATAACGGATTTATGGCACATAAACATGCTCCAGAAGCGGATAAGTTTGACTGGCGGTTAAATTATATTGGTTGCTTGATTTTCAACAAGCTTGACGGATGGAGACATTGTGTTTCCACGCATACGAGTTCGTGGACTTTCCCCAGCCAAGCTGTACTAGACACATTAAGACAAATGAACAATGCAGAAGCACTATATACGATGATACCATGCAGCAGTTTGGAGGGTTGCACTGTTTAGTGAAATACTCGGTGGTATGCCCATGCTCATTCTACTCAGTGCCGAAATCTGAACACTTCTAGGAAATGTGGAGGCACCCACAATTTGTGGTAGCTTTTCACGAATATATTCTTGTATTGCTACAGTAGACGTAGCTTCGGGTCAACGCTGAATGTGCAGTTGTGACAGTGAACGGGGTTACTTCGTGTTGACCGGTTACATGCATACAGGAACTGAGTTCTGTCGCAGGCACTTGAGTTTTGATTGTGGACACAGTTGCCCACATGATTTGGTGATATTGGTTGGTTTCGGCACTTCTAGCCACTGTATGGTAGGGAACTTTCAATAAATGGTTCCACACTACCTCAGTGAGTTCTGCTTCGCCTATCGTGATACAGGCCATACTTAACACGGGATATTTGCGTTAGCAACTGCGTCAACTCTTCCTGGTGCACGTAGAAAAAGAGATTTTACGCTACGTGTCACCTTATGTTAGACTTTTAGTCGTGAAATGCAAACCAAAATATCCTGGAAAAGTGGATTTTGGTTTTATTGGGTAATGTTTAGAGCGTACTTAGCCCTCAAGGTTAAAAAGTTGAGGAATACCCGCTGGATGTGCTTCATTTGAATAGGCAGGCTTCTCTGTATATGCATAATTCCTGGCGATTTTTACAGATTTGCATTTTATTTATTATAAACATCAACTTGAAGCGTATCGTGTCGTCTCCAACCAACTCGTGCCAAACGTAAACCATTTAAAATCCTAAAAATATTTTTAGTTAACAATCTAGCAAGTCGGAATGTCTAATCTAACTAAGGAAAATAGCATCTCCACAGAATTCGGTCTCATTTAGCTCCCAAACGCGCTTACCATTTCGTTTCATTGGTTTTTCCGGTCCCTTGGATTTGCATTACAGCTGATCGTTTATACTTCAATAATACTTAAAGTTCAATCTTGACTTGATTTGCTTTGAACACTGTCTCATTTCGATTTCTCACAGTTTGCAGAAATGGAGTATCATCATGAACGTAAGAAATTGATCGAATATTACTATGGTAATGGAGATGAGCAATTTCAGTCGTTTCGGTCGTCTGCGTTAAAGGAACTTGCCCCAGAATTTGCTACTTCGATCGCGAACCACAACACACCCATGCCAAGCTCAAGTTTACAATCTACCGTCGTGAACAATAATCCTCATGAACGCAAACCGATTTCGTCCATTGGGCAGAATTCCAGCAGATCTGGAGCGCTGTCCACTCGTGGGCATGTTACCATATATCACGAGAGTGGTTTACACTGATTCAAACCTAGTCAATCCCGATTCTTCACTGTTGTGTGTGTGCGTGAGCACAACCGTTGTTCATTTCCGAGCAATAACACTTTGTCTATACCCAACGACACAACCCCATTTAGTTTACATTTGTTGCCAACTTAAATCCCTGTTCAAAAGTTGATTCTATTGAGAAGTTTCCCACTCAATGATGATACTTTTGGTTATCCTCAAACATTATGGGATTTGTTCCCTTCGACTGACATTCCTTAGATGCGATCAGACTACACACTTGAATAAAGTAACTGGTTTTAATCTACACAAACTGTTAGCGATTGATATGTCATTTCTTTGGATTATTTCGTCCTATCCAGAACTTTTACCTGTTCGGCGTAGTAGTTTTGCACACTATGACCATACTTTACAATGATACTCAAACCGAACTGAAACCAAGATGAGTTAAACGTCCACTGCGAACGAACAGTGAACCATGATTTCTAACGGGTAAACAAGCGATTGTATCGACAACTCTTGTAGGAGGTCTGATGTGGGAAGTTTAAATAAATGCATGCATCTACCAGCTTTCGTCTTCTTACCATGCTTTTCAAATTGCTGAAGGGAACTAACTGCTAGAAAATAATAGTTTGAAATGACAGGAAAGTGGATAGATAATTCGGGTTTAAGGTGACTCACTGAGTTATTTACATGAACACACATATACTGATCTGCTCACCACTACGTAGTGGAGTGGCTTGGTGAGCACCTAGTTTTCTTTAATTCATCTTCCATTGAAAAAGGCCTATGCCACATAATGTAAACGGGATGGAGTGTAGCCCAATCGTTAAAAAACAATGTGGGAGCACAGTTGACGTGAGAAGAAAGAGCATTCCAGCTACTGGATGTCAGAATGGACAAAAAGTTCTGTCGACAATCTACACCATTTTACACGCATGTTAGTGCCTTGTACCAAGCTTTTAGCGTGGCACATCTTCGAAATTGCATGCAGTGCTTTCAAGTTAGCGAGGTTTCCTTCAGATAGGCATCAAAATAGAACAGAAGGTGGTGCTGGACCACTTTCATTGGACTGTCTGTTGCTTATGCTCGGGGTTTTCAACCGGTGTCCAATTGGCTAACGTTCCATGACCAATGAGATGGTCAACGACGCCAAAACAGCATTCTTAGCCTCGTTAACCTGAAAGCAGTGCACGCGATTTCGAAAATGTGCCACGCTAAAAGCTTGGTACAATGCGCTAACATGCGTGTAAAATAATATAGTCGACTGTGTGCGTTGCGAATTTGAGCTGGTGACCTCTCAGGCGGGTATTGTGAGACAGACTTGCAACATCTCGAGACAAGCCTGATTGGGTTAGCCAGTATTTGGCACTTTGTGATAGGGTCTCATCGCAAGCGTCAGTGATCGCCGCTGTACAAGTCTAGAGCTTGCAGTCTGCGTTGATAGTGGGGGGTGAAACGGTCCACTAAGATTTTCGTCGTCCTACGTAGTGGTGTTCCAAACGCATCAGCATCGTGTTTGCGCCAAGGCTGTCAGGCTTGGATGGCCTACTCTAAGTGACGCCTAACGTAGGCGTTCAGATTTTGTGGATGGATTGATGGGTTGAATTTCCGGATGCCCTTCGTATGAGAACAAGGTGCTGACTAGCTTTTTTCAGCCCCTTTAAAGTAGCCATGGTCGCCTCACACGAATTGTTGAGATCGCTTTCCTGTGTATCTTGTTGCAACCAATGTGGTTCCAGTCGATTTTTATGTGTACATGAATGTCTCATGTTCAGGACTTTACATCTCGCCGAGTAAATTCACATCCGGTCTTCCGTTGACCAATTATAGGCTCTGTCGAGATCTCATTGTATGGTCGCATGGTCATCCACTGTCTTGATGTTGTGCCAGATCTTGGCACCGTCTGCGAATGGTAAGAAGCCTAACTGGAGCTCGGCAGCAAGATCTTAAATGGACATTAGGAGTAAACGTTGTTCCAGTACCGATCCTTTGGGCACACCGTCTCGGACTTCATCTAGGTCGGATATGGAGCTGAGGACTACGAAAAGCAGCTGACACTGAAGTGGTTGTTTATCCATCCTTGCACATGGTCAACCATCCCATAGCTTCGTGATTTTGTGAGCATCAACATCATCAACAGCAGTACATAAGCCATTTAACTGATGCTTCGCTGCCATACAACCAGAACGACATAGGGAACGAAGAATAATAAGAGAGAGGAGGGGAACTTAGCGGAAAACCCTAATGTCCTAAGCTAATGTTCTGGGTCTTGTCACCTTCAACTTGTCAACCACATACCATCACAAATAGCTAGTTATCGTGCAAACATTAAGCGGCATCGGCGAGACAGCTTTCCTGATGCTTTCACTGCCACGCGTCATAACTAGCCGTTACCCCACAGATAATTCGGAACTAAAAACACTTTAGGCACGCAGTCCGACTAGGAAACAAAAGCGGACTGCTATCTTTTTGTCTATGGAACTAGCTTGGTTATCACTTCAAAGTTCTCGCCTACGCGTAACAAAGTTGCGCAAATACTGGTACCATCCGATGCCAGTAATGTTCCGCAGGCAGCGATGATCAAGGACTTGAAGGCACCACAGGTTCTTAGATCGAAGGAACCAAGACACGCTTCCATGGTGTAGGGCATCCCTCACTGTGGCCTTGTAAACATGGCCTAGCAAACAGTGGGCTAACCTCTTCTGACGCCGCAAATGTCAGATTCAGGGAGACTGTTATAGCTTTTACACTACATGAACTGACTTCAGCGGTTATGCGCTCTTCTTTGCCGATGCAGCTGCAAAGGGAGGTGGTGTCAGCAACAACATCGAGGTCCTCACTATCGAGGGTCAAGGGATCATCAAGTGGACTGTGGTACTGTAATATAGCTTTGCGCTTTGAAGGTGCGAAGCGAATACCGAATGATGGGACCAAAACGAAGAGGCTATTCAGGTTTGATAGAATCGCCACATCTTTAAACAACATAAAATATTGTCCGCACAGTCAGAATCAACTAGACTTTTGCCAGGCAGCAGCTCAACCTGAGCATTCTCAGGCAACGCAAGGGAACACTGCACGATACAGTCCAGCACGAAGTTAAACAATAGTGGGGAAGGTGAAACCCTGTGGAACGCCATTGGTGGTCGAAAAGGCAACTAACTAATCACCGCAGACTGTGAAGCAGCCTGTGATGTTCGAGAACAGGGCACATAAAATTTTCATAAAATTTATGGAAACAGCTTTCTACATATTTATCCCGAAAAAATTGATCGATCGAGTAAACCTAATGCACTACAGAACCTTAGGTATTCTCGGCCAGTTAGCTGCGCGGTTGCTTTATGTACTGTCAACGTATTTCGCGCCATCAACACGGAAGCTCGAAAAACGTTATAGCCTATTATCTCAGGCGATTTCCGCACTGCAAGCAGAACGCCGGCGAGCACGTTGAGCATCTTCTTTGCTGACGGACATTTCACCGTTTTATGCTGTTTATGTTAATATACATATTCACCGTTAGCACTGCTTCCTGGACTAAATTGGTGCACGGGCAATCGGTGCCAAAGGTGCGTCGTTCCAGAATGCATTCAACGAGCGAAGCTGATTCGACAGTGCTTAGACTGACCACTTCTATGCAACTTGGTTCACAATGCCAATACGTGTTTTGCATGGTTACGTCTATGGCATACGGAGAGGGTGTGAACGAGATGTTGATGTGAGAATAAACTACGCGGTTTCGTATCTTTCTTCTGTGCATCGGCGTACAGACTCCGGCGTGGGATAAGCGCTTCTAAACCTAACACATAGGTCACATAAAGGGGAAAGAAAGATGGTCCAAAGATCTTTCAATAGGAACACAGACCGTGAAAGCGTGGTTTATCTATCCTTTTGAATTTGGTAATCGGAGTTTGCAGCAATATGAGTCACTAAAAATGCCACAGGGAGAACTGGCTTGTGGTGGACAGTATGCGGGAGAACCCACATGCGTGTGATGTGGTCCCACGATTTGTTAATCAATTTTGTGAGAAAACGAGCTTCGCGCTGGGTGGAATACGTCAATCTCAGTATCCGCTAGGATTAACTATTGCCTAGAAATGCAGCTTCTCAGTTCTATGCTAATGGAATATTACTCATCAGTGAATATGTTGGAGTGAACGCGCAAGATTGTGACGGTATAATAGGCCATGCGGCAACGGGTAGTCTTCAGACAGCATAGTTTTGTGTTAGGAAGGAATACGCGAGTTGAACAAGTCAGGACCCCATCGCCGCGGCCGGCGAGCCAAGCTCATCCGCCCTGATTGGGGCGAACAAAAAGCCAACCAGGAGAAGCGGCCAATGAACGCTAGGTAGGAGTTCTTTTATTGGCGGTAAGTTAACCTTTCCGAACTTTCCACGGTCGCTTTATATACTATTCACGAACTTTCCATTTTACCTTTATATTGAACGATGTGATTTGCTAATTCATTCCTGTTGCTCTGCTCGTCCGATCCGGTCTTCTTTTTTGTCGTGTGGGGGGCCAGCGAATTCGAGTTTGATTGGGAACTAAGCGTCCATTCAGGCGAGGGACGAACACTTCAGCTGGCGACTGGTTGAACCCTAATCAAGCTGTCCATATCGGCTGACGAGCTCAAGGCCATTCTGCTGCAGCAACAAGCACAATTTTGGCATCCCAACTCAGGCTGGTCGAAACTCTTGCGCGCCAACTCTGAATCCGGACCGGTTCACGGTCTACAACCGTCAAGCTGTCCGCATCAGGAGATGCCATCACTAACAGCATTACCGAATTTCCTACGACCCTGATGCTGGCCTCACTTTGGAATCTCGGTTCAAGCGTTATGAAGATGTGTTCGTGTTGAACTTGGAGACCATGATGACGATTGGAATGTCCGATTGCTGTTAAGGAAACTTGGAACAGCAGAGCACTCCAGGTATGTCAACTTTATTTTGCCTAAGAACGCTCGAGACTGCACTTTTGAGGAGACTGTCAAATGCTTGGGCCAAATATTTGGAGAGAGTCATCCATCTTTAACACGCGATATCAATGCCTGAAGATCACCAAGGTGGACGCTGATGACTACGTCACTTACGCTGGCATCGTCAGTCGGGAGTGCGAAAAATTGGACATCAAATCCATCACGGCAGATCAGTTCAAAATTCTGATTTTTATCTGTGGCCTACATTCCCCACAGGATGCAGAGATTCGCACCAGACTGCTGAGTAAACTTGATCAAGACCAGCAAATGACTCTACAGACCATAACTACTTATTGCCAAAGATTGCTGAACCTCAAGCATGACATGCTTATGCTGGAGAAGCAGCAGTCAACTCCAAGCCTTAGTGTATTAAAAACAACCTCAAAGAAACCGCTTCCGAGTGAAACAGGCCGTGAAAAGCCCAGAGAGAATCCAAAGCCCCGACTGCCTGTTGGAGATGTGGTGAGTGGCATTTTGTTCGAGTGTGTCCGTTCCTGAAACGCGTTTGCCACAAGTGTCATAAACGGGACCATAGGGAAACGCACTGCCGATGCAGACTGCAGTTTAAGCGTGCAAGATATACGCGACCGAATTCA